CCCCACTCTCCCCACTCTTTCAATCCGCCCTTCATTGTTGGCACACGTGGGCTCTCCCATTCTTTGTTTTGCAAGATAACCAACAAGTTTCTCAACTGGCGAAGTTTTACATGAATAAATTATGGCCTATGGGCTGTGCGCAGCAGCAGCTATATTCCGCTATAACCGACTCGCGTGTTTGTCTGATTGCGTTAGAGCAGTATTTTATTTACAAAGATAAAGAAGGGGAAAAACGGGATTTTACAAAAGGGTTTTTATAACAGACTTCTCGTCATTTCAGGACTCGTTATAAGTGGATTCCACTGTAGTGTCTTCCACACTTCTCCCATGACGATATGCAAATTTTAGAGGGTCCTGGATGGGTTCAATGTATGTACGTAGTCTTTTTAGCTTAATTTTTTTCAAGACATATGGATGTTAAGACTATTGATCTTAGGCATTCATTTCTGTTATTCTTTCTTTCTTTGGGAGGGGGACAATTTCTGAAATTTCCAAATGGTGGGTACAACGGTCAGCAACGACTGATTGATAATTTAGGTGTAAATTGAACTAAGATGTGTAGAACACATTTCTATATTTTGGGTTACACACCGTCTGGGCCCCACACCTTTCATACATTCACACGTCAAAACACACATATATCCACACAGAAATTTACATAATTTGTGATAGTTGTACATAAGCCATTGATATCGCAACATTCTGTGATAAAGACATTCCAGTTGATGCAGTCGAAACATCCTCTCACTTGTATTACTATGTTGAATTTCTTGAAACTGGTACATTAATAAATTAAATTACATGCTCATTGATTTACACTAATAAAGCAACATCGATATTTACTAGAAATATGTATCATGTCTTTTTTATTTTTTTATATATGGATTGCTCTCTGGATAGATGTGAGTATTTATTTTATACTGTCAAACTCGGGATAGACCCCCCCCCCGGGGCGGTGCTACTGATTGAAGTGTCTTTAGGCCATTCCCAAAAGGGGGGACATTAACATCTCGAATTCTTATGCACAGTCGAATTGTAATTGTAAATGGACTGATTCATCAATGTCATGGTCATAACAGTGCTTGAACTGCAACAGGGAATTGCTGCTTTTTCTTTCCTAATCCTTACTATCGTCATTTTTCCTCTACTTCTTTTGTATGTTTGTCACACTCTTGTGAACCGCTATTTCCGGGATGCCTTGATAGTCGAAACAGACGTAGTGCTGTTGAAGCTAGAGAGATGAGCAGAGTAAGTCTGATTCCCCGTAAGGACTTCTCTGTTGACATCCACCCCTTGGCGCTGATATGACCTTATGCAGTTGCGAGCGCCGTAAAACCTCCACTAAAACTTAACGAAAAAAATTGGGATAACAGGACAGACGGGACAGGCAGTTTTTCCCTGTTATTATAATATTAGCGAGTCGTGTTATTATAACCGTTATCAAAGGAGACTACCACTACCATTGCACCTTCAGCTTATTATATATATTCGATTACCGCAGATTCTTTTCCAGTGGGTTGTTTTGCTGACACTAAGATGGAATCGATCAGTGACCCCAACACTATAGGGGGGTATGTGTTTGAAAGTTTGTGTTTTAGACAAGCGATCATACAAACGGGTGAAATGTCTTGGTTGAGATATATTTTGATAAAGACAAAGTTTAATAATTTGACGGATCGACAGCTAGTTCATACGTAGACGTCATGCAAAAACCTCCTTAGCTCCACCGACAATAATTTACAGGAGAAGCAAAAAAGTGATTATTTCCCTTAATTCTCGATATTTTATGAAACTTTTCAACTCTTACATTTAAAAATATGATCCTTCACCTTCTCACATGTTGTCTTAAGTGGTAAAATGACTAATTACTAAGGATAAGGACTTACGAGGTTTCTACTCAAGCTTTATCGTCTTTCACAGACCCGTAGCGCCAAGCGCGTCGCATATGAGGTCTTTGCACGGCAGGTCTGAACCAGTTGTCGTCAGCTGGTGTCGCTTTAGTGATTTTGTTCTTGAGCGAATCATTGATGATGGCTGGTGTGTGTGTGTGAATGTGTGTTTCTCTCTTTCTCTCTCTGTCTCTGTCGAACACAAACACACACACACACACAGTGGGTGGTTTGCTTCTTCTTTCTTATCAAACATCTGTCGTCCTTATCTCTCCTTTTTTGTGTTCGTTACTCTCTTGTAAACCTCTAATCTTCGTCACTTATATGACCTTATTGTGTTCCAAGTGCCGTTAATCACTTACTTAAACAATTGAACACACACACACACACACATTCATTTATTCCTCTCTGTCTTTTTCCATCCAGAAGCACTCTCTCTCTCTCTCTCTCTCTCTCTCTCTCTCTCTCTCTCTCTCTCTCTCTGTCTCTCTCTCTGTCTGTCTCCTCCTCCTCCTGCTCCTCCTCCTCTCCCCCCCCTCCTCCTCCTCCCCCCCTCCTCCTCCTCCTCCTCCTCCTTTCTCTCTCAGTTGCAGTTGAAATGTTTTTAGAAATGTACAGATTATCGTAGAATAGATGATACTCTTTAGGGATATAGGCTTTTTGTCCCTGGAGATATTTGAATTTCATGTCTGTATTCTTCAAGGCCTCTAGTCTGTGTAAAGAGTTCCAGGTTTTTCAGTGGCTATCTCTGCATACTGCCTTCCAACCTCTTATCAAACGTCAACTTGAACTTACTTGAAGGATACTTTCTGATCAGGCGTATACCTAAGACAACAAATGTCCACAATGTGTGGGCACCTCTTCCACAACCTGGCCTCACACACTGGATCCCCCCACCCCCCGCCCCAGGGTAGTGTTACTGACTGAAGTGTGTTTAGGCCATTCCCGAAATAGTGGAAATTAACCTGTTCTTATGCACGTGGAATTGTAAATGGGCTGATTTATCAATGTCATGTTCATACTGTGCCGGAACGACATATTGGGAGAACTACTGATTTTTCTTTCCTCATCTTTACTATCGTCATTTTTCCACTACTTCTTTTGTATGCTTGTCACTCTCTTGTGAACTGCTATTTCCAGGGTACATTGATAGCCGAAACAGACTTTGTGCTGTTGAGGGAGGCTAGAGAGGTGAGCAGAGTAAGCCTGATTCCCCATTAGGACTTCTCTGTTGACATCCACCTTTTAGCGCTCATATGACCTTATGCAGTTGAGAGCGCCATATAAAACCTTACTAAAACAGACCTAGCCGAAACAATGAATCACGCAAATTTTGGTAGGTCTAAATCGCTTATGTCCAGTAACTTTGAAAGAAAGCTTTTTCTTTTTAAAGTTGGTTACAGACTATCGTACTACAACATATCGTATCATATGTCTGAATTGTAGATTCATAGGAGGAACAAGATAAAGAAATGAATCAGTTTTTTGCTTCTTCTGACAAATTTGTCTCGAGGCATTTAGGCAGTTGAATCACGCGACTAGCGATATATATAATATGTAGAAACGATGGCTACTAGTGTTGGCGTTTCAAATAGCACGGGACAATTCAGAACATGGCGTTTCAAATAGCATGGGAGCTATTTAGAACGCGGCGTTTCAAAATCAAATAGCATGGGTGCTATTTAGAACGTGGCTTTCCATGTGTATTTTTTTTTAATGGAAAAAAAAATCAAAATTGCCAGCATTGAATGAAATGTCAGCATTGCAGAAATTGAACGCGTTTTTCCAAATTCTAGTATATCCGGCGCCAGCTTGTGTTGTTTCAATGATTCCAGCAAACATGTGCCATGTCTCTTCCTATCTCTGGTGTATCCTGATGTTAAAAGCAGAGAAAATCATGTGAAGAAACTTGGATTTGACTTCACAAGCCGCAAATGATTCAATAGTTTCGGAAAGACACATGGCATGACACAAAATACTGTGTGCAGCTAATTTAATTTGCTACAGTAAATGCATAACAGGGATTTAATTTCTGACCATCTTACTGTCAGTTACTTCCCTTGATTTTATTCAATATCTCCTCGATTTTTTGCTTTATCAGTTTCCCCGAATTTATGGATGTGTCGAACAATTTTACCAGTCGTGACATGTTTCGATTGTATATTATTTTAATGTCAGGAACAAAAGTTGCCATGGTTTTCTATAAGATGATTATATATTAAACACGTCTTGACCATAAGTCATATAGGGTTTAAGGATAAAGCCCTTTCCCTTTTTCTCATGAAGAGTTTAAGGCATCAATTGGCATAGGAGTGCTCAATTCTTCTTGAGAGAGAAATGAGAAATACCAAAGATGTTACACTTTATTTTGAATGCAATCCACACTTCTATGTATATATTTATATGTGAAAGAATACTTTTATTTATGCTTATAGTAAAGTCTATGTGCTTTTATGATTTATATTTTTAAGGCAATGTTTCTTTTGTGTTGTATGCTGGTACTAAATTCATCTTAAAGTACCATTATACGACACTGTTATGGACAACTATGAATGACATAGACAGAAAAAAAGACAAGGTGAAAAAGAAATGATGTGGATGCTGGGGTGGGCGATGCAGATGGGAACATGCATGAGGTGTGCACTTGCAATCAAAGATGATTCATGGGGATTCTTTTACTTTTTTCTGTAATTTTTCCTACTAAATTACAAGCAAACAATTTGTGCTTGAATCTTTGAGTTCATTGTGGGTGAGAACCATTCGACCCAACAGTGTAAGAAGTGTTCCTTGTGACAACATATTACCCAGTTTGTGGACACTGACTCTGTTTTTCATTTATTTTTATCCATGCCTACCCACAACCAATCTGATCACCCTGTTGAAAATGCAATTTTTTTCACTCAGTTTTAAACTACCTCAAACTGGTCAGCTTTGTAGTAAAGAGGTGAACATTTTAAATTACTAATACTAATGCTAGTAATAATTATCCCAGTGTTGACCTTGTTTCTGAAGTTGATGGCTGTTCCAGTAAATGTCGAATTGACAAAAGTAAGTGACTAAATGGATGATGAACTTCCTTGTTTTTAAAAGACATTTTCTTATTTTCTACAGCATAAAGAGTTGGACTGGCTGCTCAAGCAAGAAGTACACCCTGTACTTCAAGATATCAGAGAAACTTTACAGGTGGGCATATTCACCATGTTTCAATTGAATGTCTAACAAATAATGTTAAATACAGGGTGATTAAAAAAGGATATGCCAAAATCATTACTTGGTATTTCAAAAACGAGAACCAATTTAAAAAACTCCCACTTGGACACATGTGTTGTACATGCCTTCAAGTTTTTTATTTCATGTTTTACAAGTGCCCAGTGTGGCCACCACCGGCAGTACGGACAACATAAAACCGATATGAGAATTCCTCCTAAATGCGCCTCAGGAGGACTGAGTCCGCCTTGCTGATTAAAGCTGTTTATTCAATCTTTTATGTCATTGATATTTACTGGAAGTGGTGTAACATAAACTTTGGTGTTAACATACCGCCAGAGAAATGGCTATTCACTTTACTGCACGTAGATTCGAATAACTTTTCTTTTCAACAAGATGGAGCACCGCTCCTTTGGCATCTCTGGGTTCGAACTTATCTGAATTGAAACATGCCTCGGCAGTGGATTGGTAGGAGAGGTGCTAAAGATCTCACCCTCTGCGGTTGGCCTGTCAGATCCCCGGACCTCACAGTGTGTTTTTTTGTGGGGGTACATTAAAGACAAAGTTTATGTTCCACCATAATGTCGGTGGCATGAAATATCTAATAAAAGCTACAATAAACACTTTGGCCTGATACATTCTGAGGCACTTTTGGGAGAAATTCTCATATCAGCTTGGTGCTGTCGTGCTGCTGGTGGTGGCCGCATAGAGCACTTGTAAAACATGCAATATAAACTTGAAGGTATGTATAACACATGTGTCCAAGCTAGAGTTTTCTATTGTTTTGAAATATTGCATAATGATTTTTGTGTATACTTTTTTAATCACCCTGTATAATGTGATTGTGGGAAAAAAATATTTCAGTTTTAACGTATGTTTGTTTTGTTTGAGGGGGGGGGGGGGGGGGCAGGGGATGCACTTTAACGTTATGTTACCTTCAGGTGTTTAAGAAATTTCCTCAACACTACAAAGAAACGGGTACGATATTTCAATTTTACAGTGCTGTCTCTCTTAACTAATTAGTAGTAGGTGAAGTGCTCCTTATCATTTTTGGAAAGAAACTTGATACCTCATTTAGTTTCTCAATGATTTTTCAGGCTATCTTTTCAGTTGTATTTTGTTTTCATTGTTATTTGACTTTAACCATTGAATATCTGATTGCAATGCTTTAATGTTTTCAATTTGTAAATTGGCCTTTGCTTTTATTGCTAATGCCGGGTGTCTTTAAAAAGGGGAAACCACTGAAAGGATAATAACTCGGTTTCTCTACACTAATGTCAATAAAATTCAAATAAATATAACTCAACCATGAGGACATTAATATGTGAAAAAATCAGTCGTGTCCAAGAAGTAGGAAGTTTTAAAGATTTCAGCCAAAATTTGGTAAAATGCGAAATTCTACTTCTTATAAACATTCAGCTACTAGGGTGGGATCAGCCGGTTCTGGTTTCAGGACAATGACGGTAAAACCACAACAGTCACCTCGGATAGATATCTTAACTTGCTGAGAAAGTTTTGTGGAAGTTTGGGGAGAATGTGTTATGCTGTACAGGCCTGGTTCCAGTGGTACAGGGCCACAACCCACACATCTAGAGTGGCCTTGATACGGTTGCAAGAAAGGTTTGGGGAACACCCTACAAGCGTAAAATTTACGAATGAAAGGTTATCACATTCCCCCCTACTCGCAAACTGAAGACCCTTCAATTATTATCTTTGGGGTTTTTTGACGAAAAGAGTGTAAACCACCGACAAACAGTCAAATAATTAAAACTCAATGTTGAACAGAACGTCTGAAGAATCGACCCAGAAACATACCACACACAGGGTTATTCAAAATTTCCAGTGGCGTATTGGAGCCTGTATGAAAAGAAAAGGTATACACCTGGAGATTTAAATAGCAAACCCCTTTCTGGAGTTTCTTTAGCCTAGCAATGTCAATTTTGTATGAGTTTGTTCTTCAATGCACAAATAGTGACTATTTGATTTAAAACAGAACCATTTGGTTGATTTTTAAGAAGTTGCACAGTGTTGCGTTTCAGTCAATATTGGTTGAACTTTGTTTAAATTGACATTTTTTAAACGAACAAATGGATATTTTTCATATTGACAATTGTAACATCCCCATGCCTGAATTTTCTTTCTGTGAAGGTTTATGAGAACTGGTTCAAAGATGTCGAGTCATTGCCTTTTATGTGGGTCCTCTTTAATTAATTTTTTTAGACATCCGGTTCTTTCAAATTGTAATCTTATTTTTCTGTCTATTATCACAGGAATGCTATGACAGTTTGCCTTTTCACGGAACTCTCGGTGAGTCTCATGTTTCTTTTTGTGTTGTCTTTTTCTCTCTCTCTCTCTCTCTTTGTTTTGTTTTTTTATTTGGTGTTACTGAAAAGGGGGGAGAGTGAAGAAGGAAAGTACAACAAAGTACACTTGTCTCCATGCGGTGGCTGAATGTTCAATTTTTTTCAAATGTATTTTTATTTCAGACTCTGAAAATAGAGAAAAAGAATGTGTCTTGATGAGAAAAAGAATGTATATGGATGAGTTTCATATTCAAAGTATATGGTTTTGTTTGAGAGAAAATTGGAAAGGAGGATCCCAAGGAAAGTTTGGTGAAAGTTTTGTTCTGAGATATTAAATCATAATCTTCAGATATGAGCTGGTGTAGATTTACTTTGAATTCTCTTTGCCTTCGGTCTTATTGCAGATTTGTATTTAATCAATCTTGAATGTGCGGCACCACACCCCCCCCCCCCCTCCCCCATACCCCTTTCATTGCCATCCTGTCCCTGTACTTTCAATTCCTGCAAAAGTTCAGAGCAAATATATTTCTCCTTTTTTTTTTACGTAACAGAAAAATCACGTCCTGCAGAGTTGATGCCGCAACGAATTTTGCTGACCTGCCCAAAGTAAGTATGTCTGGCTTTTAATGGGAACGTGGAAGGACAGAATCATACATTATTTTGTGCTTTAGTGAATTTAGTGGTAAGATGTCAGACTCGTTCAGGGGTCTCTTAATGGCTACTCTGCCTAATGGGAACCCCAAAAAACCGGTATCACACCTTATTTTCTGCTCGAGCGATAAAATATGAGGCTCCCTTGTGTGAGATCCACGATTCAACCCCTGATTGTAGGTCTACTGAGTAGAATATGTTATCTGAACAAAAATACTTTACTCTCTTCTCATTCTGCCATAGCTATTTGGCAATCAGAAGTGGAAGAATACATGAATGAAAGCTTTATGTGACTAACAAGCTGCAATGCTGCTTGCTCTTTAGGGGTCAGGGTCTGAAATTTAATCGGAATAGACTGGCCAGTTGCTGGAAATGTAAAGTCTTTGAGCATTCCCTTTTGGGTGTACACAACAACAAATAAGTAATTTAATAGGGGTTTTTTTTTGTGCAGTTCTTTTACTCGTGTACAATGCTGCAGTCTTACTCCCCATAAATAGGAATACCCTACAGGTCTCAGATCTGTATTTCTCTACATGTTGCTTGTTTATTAATGACCAAAAACATTGCACAAAGTCGTGTCTCATAGTTCCTTGGGTTTCTCTATTGGGAAAAGGGTTATTGGGGTACCATTGTGTATTATTGTGGCTTTCAGCATAATGTAACTCTTTGTTCTCGTGCTATGAAGTTTAAAAAACTGAAGAAACATATCTGAAAATAAAATGTTCATATGTTCGGTTTCTTGTTCCATAACCTCAACACGTGTGTTTTGATATAAGTGGGTTATTTGATTTAGATTTACTGGAATTGTGCAAAAACATTATGAAAGCAATGCCCTAACAATCGGAAAAAACATTAAAAGATCAATGTACCGGTATGTAGATGTTCCTCTTTGGAAAAAAAAAAATTTGCTTGACTTATTTTATTCTTTTCTTTTGGTTAGTGGTCCCAGTATGAACTTCAAAAGTGTGGTCACGCTGAGAGGGGACTGCGTAGAGGCTGCGGTGAGTTCAGTCTCGATACATTGTTCTACACGCATAAACAACGTCTATGATAGTTGAGGTTTTTATGTTTCACGTCCTCTGATTTGCCTTTTCACTCACATAATACCACTGTTCTTGCCTGTTGGTAAAATGTCCAACTGCTTTTTTTTTGTATTGTTGTTTTATTTTTTATGTAGTAATTAATAAAAATGCTGTCTCTACAAAGAAATGAATGAGTGACAATCATACTCAACTTTTTTTTTTTAATCACTGACAAAATGCCTTAATTGTCTGATAAATTATTAGAGAGGGATTTGTACCCTGTTCTGATGTGCAGTATTTTTTATTACCTCATTTCATTTTCTCCTATAAAAAAAATATGATAAGTGTACTGACGATATACTATGACGTTCTGTGTCTGATTCTGAATTCATCATATTCCTCATCATTGCCATCTTTGTCATTATCTTCTGCAAGACCACAGCTCTCCGTTGCCTTGGATAATTTAATTCTAGTACTTCTACTTTCATAGCGGTAGTGATAAAAGTTGTACTAATGGAAGTGATGACAATAACAGTGCGTGGAAGTAAATTCTAAAAAACTTTTTTTTATTTTAATTTTTGGATGTGTATGTGTTAAAGTTGATTTTGATTAATTTAGGAGGTGGGCTTTGATTCTGCCTGACAGGGTCGGCACAAGCAGGGCTGCCAACCATCCCGATTTTTTCGTAATCATTACGATTTTTTAGACTCGCTACAAAATTCCGATTGTAAGGCGATTTATTACGATTTTTACCGTCAGCAGATTTTTGCCTATAAAAAAATATTTTTGCCTTTTTTTAAATTTTACAAGGCTTAGTTCAGACCTGTAAATCGTCCGCCAATATTCGGAAAACTGCCAATCTCTAAATTAACCCCCCGCCCCCCTAACACAAAGAAACAGCTGGCCCACTTCGCATGAGTTAGCCTTGCCCACAATAATACATACTGTACGCGAGTAGAAGCATAGAAGCATCGCTGCCATGCTGCTGAGACCCAAGCAGTCTAAAAATTACCTATTTTTGTTCGTTGTAATAAAGTAATTTGAAAATGAGAACACTATTACTCATTTTTATGGGAAATTACTAATTTTCTTCATGGTCATTACTAAAAACCATGGAAATGGGTTGGCAGCGCAGCCCTGCACAAGCAGAGAGGGATACTATTATAATATCCTAGCAGAAAGACCAAGGTGCTTGATGAAAATTCTCTCCACTTGGCATCGAACTCGGTTCTTCTGCATGTGATGGCAAAGTGCACAACCGGTACCCCTCAGACACTGGTCACATGTGTGGGTTAGTGTGTTAGATCATAATAATAATAATAATAGATAGCATTTGTATAACGCATATTCCCACACAACAGCAGGCTCTATGCGCTTTACACTATATTATCACTACCATGTCTCATAATACACTCAAGTATGGATATCGCAGTAAAAAAACTTTCTCATTGCCATTTTGCATCTCTAGGATCTTCAATTCAAACACAGGCAAGGCAAAGAGCACCATCTGTTCAAAACAAAGATCAGACAGGGAGCTTTCTGGACTCTGCCTCAGGTAAGTTTTAACTCACTGGGTATAGCATCTTCACTAAATACAGTCAAACCTGCTTTAGCGTCCACCTGTACAAAGGACTACTTCCCACTTCCTTCCTTGCGTTTAAAATAATATTCATTATAATGACATTTTCCAAGACGTCCACCAGTCTATGACAACCGCCTTTCTCATCAACAGTCAAAATTGCCTAAGACAGCCACCCATTGTTGATAAAAAAAATTATCATTGATAGGTAACTTGGACAGTGTCATACCTATTTTTTTTTCTAATGAGGGGTGGGGAGGGAGGTGTTTAGGAAGTGGTCATTTGCTAAAGTGATTGTTTTGGACAGGTAGCCATCAGAATATTTTTCTTTGTTTCAGTTAGTCTTTAATACACCATTCTTAGATTCTAGGAAGATGAGATGTTGGTCTCACATGGATCAGGTAGTGAATGCTGTTAGAAAAACAGTAATCTGTGTTCTGAGTGGAGTAGGATCTGGCAAATTATCAAATAAGTGAGTTGCATAGCTTCAAGAACATTGCATCTAGACTTTGCAGTTTGTCAAAGTACAGTCAAACCTGCTCATATGGGCCCCCTGTATAAGACAGTTACCTGTACAAACAGCCTCTTCCCCACTTCCTCTCTTTTATATTTTATATCTTTTTCAGTATAATTACACTGTGTGATGTGTAAGATGGCCACTTTTCTCATTGTCACTAGTTACTGTTTTTCTAACAGCATTCACTACCTGATCCATGTGAGACCAACATCTCGTCTTAGACAGTTTCGACTATACATTGAACCAGGATGATAGACACTACAAATTGTTCATGTTCATCGGCCATTGTTTGTGTACACTCTGGTTATCTCCTTATGTTTTGTCTGTTGTCTTGTATGATACATATGCTTGTCAAGTTTGTAAGTTATGTTTGTCTTCTTGTATGTGGCACATACTGGTCGTCTCAACTTGAACTTGTATATGATATATACAGGTCATTTCAATATATATATCTTGTCTGTCTTCTGTGTTATTGAAGGCAGCTAATTCCTGTTTTCAATTATGTTTGAGATGTGAGGAGGAATGTTTGACCCTCTTGCCATTATCGTCATGAATGATTTGAGGTTTATTTGATGGCTGTAAGTAAATTCTTGCGAGTGGTTGGCACAGGCTCTGGTATGGTTAGCTCCCTCTTTCCTGTCAAACATCTATCATCCCTATCTCTCTTCCTTCTATGTATGTTACTCTCTAGTAACACATCTAATCTTCGACACCCTTATACGACCTACTCGTGGTGCCAGTGCATAAAACTCTTACCAAAACTAAACTGAACATTAAAATCACTCAATGTTTTATGTCAAGTTTGAACAGGGGTTTTTTTTTGGTTTTTTTCATATTTCAGATCCGCGATGCTGGCAACCATTTGTGCTGTGCTCTGGAAATTGTCTCTCGCAATGAAGAAAACTACACGTACAAATCTGTCAAGGAAGTTTTCTTGGTGAGTTTTCTGTTGTGGATTACTGCATAACATTCGTTTGTTTTGTTTGGTTTTTTTACTGAACACAACAAGAGTTTGCTATTTTCACAATTTTTGAAGAAATTTATGAAATCAAGTCATTTGCAAAAGCACTATTGTATTGGAACACATGGCATTGGGCGACTCAAATAGCAAGTTCAAAAGTTCAAAATATTCGAGAAAAACTACATGGTCAAACTGCCAACCGGTCTACAGACTGCTAGTCAGATTGTCAGGTTCTATGGACAATGGAAATAAGGAATATAAGGCTGTTAGGGAAAGAGCTTCCGCTAGAGCACAGTTTGTTCTTCTGATATGAATAAGTTATGGACAAGCTGATATGGGGATAAGTACACATATTTGTATGGCTAGGACAGCGTGTAACAAAGTTTCCACGAGAATTTCACTGGGGTCTGATTTCTGATCTCTTATCTGTGGTTTCTGATTTTGGATCTCTGATTTCTATTTCTGATTTCTCTGAACTTTGATTTCTAATTTTTGATGTCTCTGGTTTCTGATTTTTCCTCAGATCCTGGATGAACTGATGGACAGATTGATGAAGTGCCGACAGTGTTTGTCCTTGCCCAAAAGGAAATCCATACACGATCTCATTGAAAATCAAAACCTGGTACGGATGAAAAGAGAAATGCGGGGAGGAAAAGAATAAGGAAGAGAGGAAGAAAGGTTGTTAAGTAATGGGCTGAACAATTTGGGTTGTGTGAGTGTTTGTGTGGGGGTGGGATGGGGATGATGAAGAAGAGGACTAGCCAAAATCGTAGGAGAAGGAAAGAGAGGAACAAAAGGGGAAAATTGAGGGTGAGTGTGGGGGGGGGGAGGTTGTCCCGATGTCATTTGTTTCGTATGGTTAACTTAAAGCGAGAGATTTGCTGAGATTCATGCTGGGCTCTTAGATATGCCAAAGTGGAAAGGAATCCCACCCAGTTTTGAAATCCATAGCGTCTGACAGTAAAAATATGAGCTGTATTTGAGGGACATTCAATAAAACAGGTCTTTACTCTGTTTGGGAAAAAAGCAGGCTGAAAAGTTGAAATTTTTCCACTCGCAATGCTACTTCTTTACATAGTCAGCCTGCAAATTTATGTATGTTTGTCATTTTTCTTTGACCTTCAAAAATCACTGAGCATGATTTGACCTCATATGGGACTCACACGATTCCTCCACTGCAGATAAAGCATCTTCATCACTATGGAAATGCTGTCCTTTGAGAGTCTTTTTTCAGATTTGGGGAGAAAAAAAAAGTCAGAGGATGAATAATAGGATAGATGCGGAGAGAATTTAGATACCACACTGCTTTGCCATTTAAATTGCCTTTACTGCTCTGTGCGCTGGAGTATTTTCATGCAGTGGGAGAAATTTTTTTCACAGCTTCCCTCATTTTCAATAAGTACCGTCACAAAAAGTGCTTTTAAGTTCAAAACCACTCATTGGAAGTTTTTAAAAGCCGACTCTCAGCATTTCAGACTTATAGAAATCATATTCTGCAAGTTTCATCATTTTACGAAAATTCCTTCCTAGTTGGGGTGAAGACTCAATGAACACCCCTTATAAATGCAGTTATTATAATAATTATTGTTAATTTAATTGTTTTTCAAAATTATTATTATTATCGTTATTATTATTATTATTATTGACAATGCTTCTTATTGTCTTCAGCAAATCTTCAATCCGCCTCTGCCCAACGATATCGCAGTGTCTTTCTACATCCACACGTCCAAACTAGTGCTTGCCCTCTACGTCCTGCACCACAATGGTCAGCACAAGGTGGAGATCACGCACAGAGTGCAGGTCAGTTTTTGGTCACTTGTTAAAAAAACTTTTTCTTTTTAAATGTAAGTGATTTTACGCCTCCATTGACACAGTTTAGATTGTTAGGAGGGCTTTCCACCCTGCCTGTTAGGACCAACCCTGGCTGAGAGGGGGATATAACCTAACCGTTACATCACAGATGTCCATGGCATGTCATGGTCGTAGTAGCTTACACCGATGGAACTGTGGGAGATTTTTTCCAGGGTTTTTATCAATGGGGGGAAAATCCATTCACGCTAAAAGGGCGGAAGTAAAAGAATTGCAGAACTCCTGCTGTGGGTACATTGATAAAAGTAAACTTGAGCCCTCCATTCGGACTAGAATCAAAATGCACATCCGGTTTCTCCAATCTCAATGTGACATCATTTGGGTTGTAGTGGCATCTGTCATAAAAAATGGGGGGGGGGGAGAGAGAGAGAGAGAGAGAGAGAGAGAGAGAGAGAGAGAGAGAAAGGGGGGGGGGGGTCTTTTTATTTTTAAACTTATTTTGTGTACCAGGGGAAGAATTGTACTTTTACTGATTAATCATCACTGTGAAGCAGCAGTTGAGTAGAGGTCATTGTTCAAATCCCTGATGAGGTGCCCTTGATCTTGGTTTGTGTGGGAAGTTTTCTAGGCCCTGCGCCCACTTGACTCAGTCCTGTCAAATATGATATCGGATGTCTCATCTCTTAATTTTTGTTTTAGTTTAGTAAGAGTTTTACAGTGCTTGCAACTGCATAAGGTCATATGAGCATGCGGGCTCATCTCTGAAATAACAGTTGTTAGAAAAGATGTGGAACCAATACCTTTCCCTGGCCTGCTTTAGTTGAGTATTTAGGAGACACAGGCTTACAACTTGCATCTGTACTGTAACTGTTACGCGCTTCGCTGTCGCTCACAGAAGACCTTAATTCAATTTCGCCTGTGGGGAGTAATTTTATCGTCTCAGGTTTTTCTGCTGGGATGTTTGGTCCCTCTTAGCCCGGATTGGCCCTGACTAGCAGGATCAAAGACCGACCCCCTAAGAGATTTATGCTGTATCAATGGATACATAAAACACCTATGTTGAAAAAAAAATAATAGACCAGGCTTGTGAATGATGTTTGTGAACGTTTTTTTTTTAAATCGTTAATGAGCAGGGTGTGACGTTATCCTAGATAAGGTAGTCCTTGGTCTAAAACAACTTGCTGCAGATAACTGTTGTTGTTTTGTTGGGGGGATTTTTTCTCTTTTTTTTAAATTTAGAAATGTTTGTCAATGTTACAGTATGTATATTATGCTATTCATTATTATATGAAATATTGTACATTGAATTTAAGTACCATTGTAAGCCAAATCTTCACTTTCAGCATAAAACCAATCAAGCAGACCCTTCCCCCCCCCCCAAATTAAACATACTTCTGCCACTGAAAACCAAATGCTGATTTCTCATGTTGCCGTGTGTTGTCATGGCATGTTGTTGTATGTGTTGTTCTAATGTGTTGCTGCGTGTGCCCTCAGGTGGAGGCCATAGTCAAGTGGCTGAATGAGGCCATCATATTCTTCACCCTCTCCCTACAGCAGTGCCAACAGCTCAAAGACAAGGTCAGTGCAGGGATAGGCTTAGTTACCTCTTCCGTATCCTAGAATTACGATGTTCTATCTGCTCAATACCCAGTTTTGAGAAATTTGACGTCAACTTTGTCGAGTTTCACAACTTGTCAAACTTTTGTAATGCAATTTTTTTAATATCTTGATAAAGACTCTGAATAATCTTTCAATATTGATAGAGCTGATAGAACATTTGGATTTTGACCTCATGGTCTTAGTAACTCAAAACAGCCAAAAATGTCAGATAGAACTTTGTAATTCTAAGGTTGCAACTTGTCTAGGGACTGGGGTTCTTATTCTAATGCGATTTTACATGAGGAATTACATTCTTGACCTTGAGAATGAAACCTGATCAGGAATGTTTCCTCTTCACTTCTTGGAGACAGTAGTGTGTTACCTTTGTGAATGTTAGAGTGTCAACAGAGACAATGTGTGTGTTACCTTTGAGAGTGTCAGCAGAGACAGTGGTGTGTTACATTGTGAATGTTAGAGCTCTTCAACAGAGACAGTAGTGTGCAGCATTGCGAATGTAGTGTGTGTATGGACACAGTAGTGTGTTATGTTGTGAATGTTACAGTGTGTCAACAGAGAGTAGTGTGTTAACTCACTGAAGACGGAAGGATTTTACTATGAACAAGCATCGAAGACTGAAGGTTTTTTCAAAATTGTTTAAAATTTTAACCTTTTAACCAACTGCAATGCCCTATTGAATCAATAAAGAACAACACAAGAACAAAAAACATACTAAAGTACAAGTGTCTATCTCTACTAGCATGAGTTTTTTTAAAAGGTGTAAAATTCAATGTTCAATAAATTTACGAATAAGAAAATAATAGACGCCATATAGATAATCACTGCATGCTTACAACACAAGCAGTCTTAGCAGTCTCGTAACTAAAAATGCTCTGGATCAAAAAGTTATCGACCAATTTCCTGGAATTTTTTTAATGGAATGAAACAAATGGCTACGATAAGTCTAAGCCGGATCCTGTGCTTTTAGCCGCATTTATATAGACGCTACCGGCGATAATGATGATCCCGCGTTTTTCCATGGGAACCGTCACACAGAAATGACCGGTCATCCCGTGTTTTTAATGGGGAAATGTCTTCAGTGAGTTAAGTTGTGAATGTAAGGGTGTGTTATTTTGTGAATGTAAGAGTGTGTCGACAGACAGTAATGTGTTAAGTTGTGAATGTTAGAGTGTGTTGTATTATGAATGTCAGAGTGTGTCAACAGACAGTTAAGTCATTTCTTCTAATACATAATATTCGAAGGTCATTTTAAGGTCATACGAGTAAATAACCAATAGTACTGTTGCTTTCAGACTTCACTGTGTAGCAAAATCGCTAGAAATGTATTACATGCAAAATACGTCGGCTACTATTTGATATTACTTTTACAGTTGTTGAGTTGGGTTTTTTTAACTGTTCTTTTTTTTTTTCTATTTTGTTTCAGTTGATGGCTGTGGCTCAAATACTTGAAAGTCCTTGACAAACTCGGTGCTTGAGCGTGACATGAATGGGAGAATGTGCACATGTCTGATGGGGTGCTATGATGAATGTCAGTAGGGTTGTTCAGGAAATGGCAAAGTGATTTTTTTTGTGTGCGCGCGTGGATAAATTTGTCTGTACATTTTGAGAGTTTGGGATCTTTATGTGTGTAAATGTGAACAGTTTGATGACAAATAGCGACAAACACAATTTTCATCTAAGTTTGGCTGACACTGGTACTGTAAAATCTAGAAAGATGAGGCACATTCCAGAGTCAACTTCTTTTTTCACAGAACATCCTTTTTTCCTCTTTAAAGAACTGCTAAAAATGAGACCTTTTTAAATATTTTTTTAACGACACACGACAAAAGCGGGAGAACTTTTTTAAAATGGCAACATATACCCTCTAGGCACCAATCAAGTTCTTTCCTTGAGTCTCACATGACTACACTTGTGGTCAATGAAAGTTTGTGGGTGGTATTTTCACTTCCTATTTATTGCAATGTCGATGTGTCGCATTTTGTCAAAAATATGTGGAGATTCTATCTATAACAAGGATAAGAAATTTCCTCTAAGCTTTACTTCATATTTACTCTAAAAACAAAGTTACTCAAGATTATTGAGTAAATGGGTGAAGATAATGAAATCGTTGTTTTTCTCAAATCCAGAAAAATAGGTATGTGGCGTTTTGTCTCAAAACTGTTCATGTGTCTGTTCACTTAGCGTGCGTCTATGCACTATGCTGTTTTCGTGTATCTGCTGGCCTTTTATGTATAGATGCCCGTGCACTTTGTGTGTGTGTATGTGTTTGTGCACTATTTGTGCGTTCTGGTGTCTGTCCGCTTTGTGTGTGCGTGTGTCTGTGCACTTATGGTGCTACTCTGGGACCATTAAATAATGTTTACTTTCTGGTGGCAGTACATAGCTGGTCTGTGTATGTGGAAGAGACTGATGTAGTGAGTGTGTGTGTGTGTGTCTGTGTATGTGGAAGAGACTGATGTAGTGAGTATGTGTGTGTGTGTGTGTGTGTGTGTGGGAATGTGATATTGCAGTGGCTATTAATGTTTGTACGTGGAACTGTGATATTGTGGTGGGTATGAATGCCTGTCCGTGGCTCTGTGATATTGCAGTGAATGTTGTGTGTGTGTCTAGAGGTCAGCAGTTATTGAAGACCAAAGCGAGTGCTCTGTATCATGTACAGAGGTAAGTGGGGCCATTTGTAAAAAAGTGCTGTCATATACAAACTGATGACTACATATCGTGTACATCCATATCGCATGACAGTGGGAGAGATTGCCAAACAAATTATTTGAACTGCCAGTCATCATATGGTGCTTCTTCTTCTTCTTCTTCTTCTTCTTCTCCACTCTCGATGACAGTCAGACATTGCTTGTGTGATGCGCGTAAACTGTGCAGTCCGCTTCAGATCCTCAAGGCTGCCGTACAGTTTTCTCTCCGGTGGTGGTGTAGCCTACTGCCATGTCTGTGCTCTTTGTGTTATGTCGTGAGTACTGTAGTACAGTGCTGCAGGGTGGTGGAGTTCTTGACGGCCGGCACGGGTTCTATCTTCGTCAATCTGTAGATCGTATGTCGTATTTCTTCCGAAATATGGCAGAATGTCTATCACAAAACCAGTTGAAGAATCAACTAATCCTCATGTCTTGATGTGGTATTTACTTGGTTTACTGGGAGTGTATTGCTTATACTGCGGCCTCCCAGTAAAACCAATGACCATCTCATCTATGCAGATGTTTTCGAAAGGGTAGAACGCTCCCTGGAAATTTTTTATTAGCATTTTCAGGAAGGGTTCAATTTTCTCCTTGCCTTGTGCCTCAGATTCTGAACAATGCAGAAATGTATGAAAGAGGGCTTCAAACCTCTCTCTTTGAAACAGACTTGTAAAATTAAATGGCGTGTAAATGACAGGGCTCCGAGGCCGGTAGTCCTGAATGGAAAGGCAAAAATTGAGACCCATCGCTATCAGTACCGCAACAAATTTCTTCCAATTCCTTCACTGTTGTTCGGGACCAATTGTTGTATACTGACCTTCTTTTAGCTGTAGTGTTTTTCTGCACTTTTAACAGCGCATAAGTGTTTATGGCATCTTCAAGAACTCCATACATCGTCAGTCCAAAGAAGACTAAACACGTCATTGATGTTCAGGTCATCACTCACTCCTGGGTTGGCAACTCCTCTACATGGTAGAAAGTCAAACACAGTACTAGTTTCACCCTGTTCAGTTTCTTCCCACTCATTCTCTGAATACTCTGGCTCTGGTTCATTTGTTGTAGTTTCTGTAGGTACCTCCCAGAATACAATACTGGTTTCCCCCAGCTGAGCTGAGCTGTTTCTGTCGAGACAATATCCAGTGTGTTTCGCTGACTCCTAGTATGTGCAGCCTGTATCTCTTCATCTCTTGTGATGCTTGAGAACTCTTTTCTGCTTTATACATGGTGCGAACATTCCACGACGTAATCCGGAGAGAACTTGTTCTACAGAGAAGGTTTTTGGTCAGGAGAGTCCTTTCGGCTTTGTCCGCTGTCCTTCATTGTTCCTGCTGATGCAGAAGCTCCTCCGTCTCCCAAGATCGAAAAATAAAAAGCTGTGTTTGTTCGTGTTTCTGTAACTGACTGTTTTTATTGGGATGGAAAGTTGGCCCTCTGCAAACTGGCTCTTTCGGGAGACCAGACCTAAGCCCTTTTAGTCGCCTCTTTCGATGCGCAATATCACGGCAGGTGTATTCTTTGCTCCCCACAGTAAAACTGTGAGGCCCCCCACCTGCGGGGGCGACATAAAAGGTGTTGAGCCTAAAAGACAAAAATTCGATGAAAATTGCCAAACTGGCGGGAAAATGCCAGTTTCTTGGATTTCATTATTTTGACGAGCGCCTGATTTCACTATGATGACTCACATTTAACTTGTGACGCAAAAATGTTTTCCTACAACATTTTCAAGCCATCTTCTCAGTAACTTGTGCTGCTTCTGACTCAGACAGCGGGGAGCCTGCCCTGTGCTGGTGGACAAAAGTCTGTCTGTTTGTAGTGGAGGTTTACTGATTTCTATTTTATTTTGTATTAGTTATGTGATTTGTTTGGGTTTTTAATTTTTAAAAATATTTCTGGAAAGGACAAAGAAAATATGTGTGTGGGTGGTTGGCAGGTGCTCTGGTGTTGTTTGCTTCTTCCTTCTTATCAAACGTATATCGTCCTTGTCTCCCCTTCTTCTTTTTTATGTTTGTTACTCTCTTGTAACACCTCTAATCTTCTGGCACTCCTATGACCTTATGCAGTTGCGGGCACAGTAAAACCTACTAAAAAAAAAAAAAGCAAATGTCATATCTTTTTCTCGATCGCATCACACTTGAAGTCTGGTATCTGTCATAAATTGGGCTGTCCTGCTCAGTCCATCAGTCAGCCCGTATAGCTTCTCTTGCAGCGTCAGTGGGGTTGGCCACGTTTCCTGTCTCAGGGCCCTGTGTGTCTTGCTGTGCTGAAGGATGTGTTCAACAGTTTGGTCCGCCTCTCCACACTGGCACAAATGTCATATCTTTTTAAACAATTTTTTTTTGCATTTTCCCCCCCAAAAAGGCCATGGCAGACATGAATCTTTTCATATGAGAAGCTCACATGTTGTGTTGTGCTGATGTTAAATTAAATCATCATGTCATTTTCCTGACTTCTGACATCCTGTCATTTTCCTGACATTTTTCCCACAGTTCTATGTGCCATAGCAGAAGTAATTACTTTATGATGACTTTGTTAATACTTTTCTCAAAAGACTTTTCGATTTGGTCACAAACATTCTAAAATTGAAGTACATTTTTGTAATTCTTTCTTTCTTTCTTTCTTTCTTTCTTTTTTTTTTTTTTTTTTGGATAATACTGCTTGATCTTAATCCCATGTTAGTTTTTTTTCTGATTTTGGATTCACCTTGGGCTACCGTCTGTTCTTTTTACTGAAGAGCATAATACATTGTCATATTGTCAGCGCTATTCCACAAATGTCTAGGTCTTGATTTGGAAGCTTGGTTTGGAGAAAATTAAAGAAAAATTCAGCTGCCCAACCAGAGTCGTTACCAAGGCTTGTGTGATTTTTTTTTTTTCAGTTACGACTTGGAAGGAAATAATTAAATAAAACAAAAAAACTCTGTTGTAAGGTACCACTTGATGTCATTGTTTGAGTAAGGGCCTTGTCTGAAGACCCCCGGAAGTTGATGTAGGCTATTAAAGAATGGTACTGGCGACATCACGCGTATGTTGTAAGTTTAAAATTGCAAGGAGTGTAAAAGTTTATAGATTGAGTTTTAAAACTTTCTGGTTCTTCTGAACTATTACTATTCACTGAAACCTTTTTTTTTTCTTCAAAGTGTAGGTGTTTTTACACTGCCCCCCCCCCCCCCCAAAAAAAAAAAAACTGACACAATTTTGATCAATTAAGAGGCTGGCTTTGACACTGCCTGACAAGGTCAACCCGGTCAAAGAGAGATACTCGATAAACATTCTCCCCCTTGATACTTGAACTTGAGTCTCCTGCTTGTGTCTGTGAAGCGCTTAACCACTACACCGCAAACGCCGGTCTGAAACATTTAATCGAAAGTGTTTCTACTTTTGCAAACATCAAGTGTACTGGATGTTTTTCAACCTGGTCTAAAACCACTTGCCTTTGTTCCTTTTTGTGTCTCAATCTTTTATGATATAGTTGTATGTGTGCTTGAGAGTTCATGGGTGGGTGGCGGGTATTGGGGTATGGTTTACGCCTTCTTTCCTATCAGACACCTATCATCTTTATCTTTCCTTCTTTCTTTGTATGTTACTTTCTTGTAACACCCTTAATCTTTGGCACTTAAATAACTATATTGTATGACAAATGCTGTGAAACTTTTACAATAATTAGAGACTGAAGGTCTGTGTGGTGAGTGATTATGTCCATTCCTCTTTGATGAGTTCAGATTTTTTTTAAAGATGTTTTACATTTAGAGATATTGTATAAAGTGAAGTTTTGGAGATGGGGTCCCATGGGTTGTGAGTGAAGAGAGAGAGATTTGTCACTGCTATAATTTTGTTTTTGTTGAAATATATGCTTGTTTTTGCATCTATGTCAAATCAATAAGTTTCTACGTGCATACAACGAAATCAAATCTGAGTCTGCCTCGTCTTGAGTTTTCATGCGCCTCAAAAATATTCCACCTTGAAGAAAAGGATGTTCAAATGACTGCGTGATTTCAAAATCTGATGTTCAACCGCTTTTTTTAAGTTCTATCATCACTGCAGAAAGATTTATGGAGGAAACTTTGAAACTCCTAAAGAACGAATGTATGAAAAAGCTGTATAAAAATGGAAGCGTTAAAAACACTACACTGGAAGGAGTTAAACTGGATTCTTATTTGAGTGTGAGTGTAAAATGTCACACCTCTGTTTTTGTTGTAAGGTGGCAAAAATATACTGCTCTCATGACTTGAGTTACCTATTTTGGATGAAAAGAAATTTTCTTTTTTTTTTTTTTTTTTTTGACATTTGCAAAATTATTGTGACTTAATTTCAGCTCCTAGTCCTGATATGACCTCCCCCCCCCAAGATCACCCTTCCAACACCAACATGTGAGAAAACATGATTACATGTAGAAGGAATGACAGAATAAATTGCCAGAAAATGTATCTGTCTATGAATATGTATGAGGGGAGAGAAAATATAATATATAAATATATATATATATATATATATATATATATATATATATATACTTAATGTGTGTGTTTGTATTTATACATTTGGGTCTTTCTTTAACTCTACCCTGAACCGAGTGTAAGGATGTGAAGTAGATTTATTTTTACTGTAAGCAGAGACACGTGCAAGTGCCTTAACTTGGTTAGGTATTTTTGTTGTTTAGAAAACTGTGGAGCCGCACTAAGCCATGTATACTGTATGTTCTGTACATCTGCTTCTTATTTGCAACTTCTTCTTGTTTGAACTCCTTTGTCATGAAATGCAAAAAGAAATGGATAACCAGAGAGATCAGAGATCAAACCACTACTGTGACTGTCTGTACTTAGACAGAAGTCGTGATATCTATGGTAGATTTATGTGAGGCAGCGCGATGAAATCGGGCGCTCGTCAAAATAATTGAATTGAAGAAACCGGCATTTATCCACCAGTTTGACAAATTCTATTGAATTTTTTTGTTTTTTGGCTCAATACCTTTTATATTGTAGTCTTTAAAGTTTAAGAACACATTTCTGTGTGGATTTTACTGAAAAACGTAAGGCACAAAAAAATGTAAGGTTTCAGTTTCCACCGACTCATAAGTGGAAATGACCAAATTTAAGAGCATTTTCTCGTTAATTTTTATCTCTGAAACCAGGCGATCCCCACCTTCTTCAATCACAAATATCTCGACTTGTACTCAGGATAGATAGCTCAACATGCCCAAAAATTGATGAGCGCCCGATTCCACTGCGTCATGACACATTACATATGTATTGGTACAGTCGCTGCAGTGTTTCGTACTCGGAGAAAGGTCAGAGGATCACACAAATTCACTCTATGTTCACTTTGACTGTCTCATATAGTGACTGGTCCAAAGAAATGATGAGGTTGTACTTCATGTTATATGTGAATGAATTTTATATATAAATATATATATGTATCATTGCAGTAGGATTCTGAGCGGCTAACTTGGTTTCTGTAAATTGTCTGGGAGAGTGAAAAAACTAAAAAGAAAGGCTATTAATAATTATACACATTTTAAGTGTTTAGAATCCAACGTAGCAAATACTTGGATAAGTTGTTCTGGCTAAAAGTTATTAATAGTATATGTTGTGTGATGTCAGTCAGAATTCAGGGAAGCAACCAAAACACTGTACTTTGCTTGAGTTAGCTGTTCAGAATCACATAGCAAGGAATTTGATTAATAAATGTGTGTGTCTGTGTGTGCGTGCGTGTTTCTGTGTGTGTATGAGGGATGTTATTTTTACAAATTAACTTACTGTATCAAACAGAGATTTATCCTGTAATCAAATACACTCTATTATTATAATGGAATAAAGGCCAAAAAATTCCATGCAATGCGTGCACACACACACACACACACACACACACACACACACACACACACACTCATACTCAAACAGACACACACACACAGACACAAATACACATACAGACACACACACACACACACACACACACGACACACTCACACTCACTCACACAATTCCTGTCTGTAATGACATAG